CACTTCCCAATGTCTTCATCCCATGTCCGCAGCCGTTGCTGTCAGTGACCAGTCGTGTCAGTGAGTGCTCATTGGGATCAATATATTGGTGACAATTAGTGTCACATTTGTTATTGTCGTAACTCTTAAGCGCAGTTTTGACCTCAAAGTGACCCCAAATTAGTGCCATTTTTAAAGACAATTAATGTTAGAAAACTTTAAGCTATTATTAATTGTTTTTGGTTTTCACTTATTTTACTTTTTTTTGCCGACAAATGACTTGTTTTTTGTTCATTTCATTTACATTTACTTTAATTACAATTGTTTTGTAACATTTTAATTGTGTTTTTCAAACATTACATTTGAGACATACTTTTGAAATATTTATAAACTAAATATTATTGTCGATTATATGACCGATATTTCAATGATTTAAATATTAGTTATTATAACAAACAATAGATAAAACATTTGCCAATAAATATCAATTGATTTGTTATAACATATGGTTTGTCTGATTAGACAGTTGTGTGGAAATGTGATGACAATTAATAATGAAATGATTGTTTGTTTGCAGAGCTCTCAGAATCGATTGCTGATCAAAGGCGGACGTATTGTCAACGACGACAATATCTTCGACGCCGATGTCTATATTGAAGAGGGAATCATCAGGTATTGAGCCATCGCTTGGATTTACATATTTGCAAATTGTTCACTAAATGCTCGTCCAATTGGCAGACAAATTGGTCCGCATTTGACAGTTCCCGGGGGTGTGAAGACCATCGAAGCCAAGGGCCAGTATGTGATCCCCGGAGGCATTGATCCGCACACTCACATGCAGTTGCCGTTTATGGGAACGCGAGCTATCGATGACTTCTACACCGGAACAAAGGCAGCGCTGGCCGGCGGCACCACTCTTATCATCGACTTTGCCGTTCCTGAGGCTAATAATCCGAGTCTTGTGAATGCGTACAAGAAGTGGCGGAATTGGGCCGACGAACGCGTTTGTTGTGATTACAGTCTTCACGTCGCGGTCACCGACTGGAAGGCCGGCGAAACCGACGCCGAAATGGCAGCTCTGGTGAAGGATAATGGCGTCAATTCATTCAAATGTTTTATGGCTTACAAAAACGTTTTGATGATAAATGACTCGCAAATGATACAAGTATTTGACACGTGCAGAGACATCGGCGCCTTAGCTCAGGTCCACGCGGAGAACGGAGACATCATTGACGCCAACACTAAAAGACTACTTAGTTTGGGAATCACTGGCCCTGAAGGCCATCTGCAGAGTCGTCCCGAAGAGGTCGAAGCCGAGGCAACCAATCGGGCCATTGTTTTGGCCAACGAAATGAATTGTCCGCTATATGTGGTTCATGTGATGAGCAAAATGGCAGCCGATGTCATAGCGAACGCCCGTATGAGAGGTGTCATTGTTTTTGGCGAGGCTTTGGCTGCAGGTATTGGAACCGATGGAAGTCATCACTACAACAGATGTTGGAGACACGCGGCCGCTCACGTCATGGCACCACCTCTTAGGGCCGACAGAAGCACTTCTGAGCATTTGTTGGATTTGTTGAGCTCGGGTCAGTTGCAGACAACCGGTTCCGATCACTGCGTCTTCAATGCCGAACAGAAAGCTTTGGGATCCAAAGACTTCTCCAAAATACCAAACGGTGTGAATGGAGTGGAAGAGCGGCTAATGGTGTTGTGGGAAAAGGGTGTCCGCACCGGTAAACTGGATCCGTCTCAGTTCGTGGCCCTCACGAGTACTAACGCCGCGAAAATATTCAATTTGTATCCACGAAAGGGAAGAATAGCCGTCGGCTCTGACGCCGATGTTGTCATTTGGGGATCAAAGCCGAGAGTTATTAAAGCAGAGAATCACAACTCAGCCGTCGATTTTAACATATTTGAAGGAATGTCCGTTGCGTTCGGGCCTTTGGTTGTCATCAGTAACGGAAAGGTTGTGTTGGATGAGGACGGCCTCCATGTCAGTCAAGGAAGTGGTCGTTTCGTTCCGTGTCCTCCATTTGCTGCTCACGTTTACAACAATATTAAGGAAAGAGAAAAAATTGGTCCGATTTGTGTCGATAGAAGTGGAATCGAGGCCAAGAAAGCGGCGGCCGTTACTGAGGCCACGAACGGCGTGGCGAAGATAGCCATCGCTCCGGTAGTGATTTCGGAGCCCATTATCACTGCTTCGCACATATCTGGAGACGAAACTCAATCACTACAATCCGAGGCTTCGGGCGGTTTCTTCCGCGCGCCCACAAGAAGTGGTGTCCGAAACCTTCAGGACTCGTCGTTCAACTTTTCTGGCGCTCAGATCGATGACGACAAACAGGGAAAGACCGCTATTCGCGTCCACAACCCTCCCGGCGGCCGCTCGAGTGGCATCTGGTAGTCATCCCAACACCGCTTCCAAACGCACGGCATCTCTCACTAAATGTGTTTCTCTTAAGTGCTTCTTATCTTTTTATTATACATTCCTTTCGATTAAGTATTTTATTTCAAAATTATTACGAATTATATGTTTGTCACAAATGAATGAATAAATCAAAAAGTTTTCTCAAAAATTATTTATTTCAAAATCAATAATTTTAAATCATTTCAATCACTCGTCCGGAACATCGATTTCCTTTGCCTTAATCTTTTCGATGAGGTCTTGAGGAGCGGCTCCATCGATAGTACAGCCGACACTCGAAGCGGTTCCCAGAATCTCTTTAATAGTGCCTAAAAGAGTACACAAATGTTAGGCAATGTGTCGTAAGATATGGTGTTTAGTGACAAACCTTCCAGTTTTCGAGCCATACTTCTCGGGCGCATAGTTCTCGCGATAGCAATGATTTCCTCGAAAGTGAGGTTTCCGTTATGCTTCACGTGTTTCACTTTCTTGCGATCTCTCGGCGGCTCTTTCAGCGCTTTGATGATCAGAGAGGCGGCCGACGGACACACATCTATGACTGCGTTTCTGTTCTGAATGGTAAGCCTTACCGTAATCTTCAGACCCTTCCAGTCTTGGGTAGCCTTTGCGATGTCATCGCCCACTTTCTTCGGCGACAAACCCAAGGGTCCGATCTTCGGGGCCAACGATGAGGTCGCGCCCACTTCGCCGCCGACCGCCCGAAGGTATACTAAAAATACAAACAATTTGGTTTAAAAGTCGGCTCCGAGTGTGACAACTGGTGTCCATATATACCGATCTTGATTTCTGTCGGATCAAACTTTGGTGGCATTTGTGGTGTGGATGAGCTTCTTATCGCTCGACCAAAATCTTATATAAGTATAGTTTAAGATCAGATTCACCACAAAATCAACGCTCAATCAAAACGTGTTTTGCTTTAGATTTAAGGTCTGAAAGGAAAAGGAAGTGCTCTTCGCGTCACGTCGTCTACGAATGACTCACTCGTCACGTCGTATATGAGCGGCCCTTCATTTAAATGTTGCAATATTTTGACGATTTGTTTACAAAAATGAGTTCAAAATTGATTTATATTTTTGTATTGAATTTTATTAAATGTTTTCATATTTAATGGATTTTAAATTGTATTAAATGTTTAGTCAATATATGATTGAAATAATAGTATTTGTAATGAAATTGAATTAATTGTGAAAATAATGTGGAAATGAGTGAAAAGGAAAACAAATTGAGTTTAACTGAAGACCACTTCAGCCGCGAAGACACACACGAAGAGAAGACCGAAGAATTGGTTTGTATTGTTTGCTGAAGACATTGCTTTTGCGCTCATCTCAAGTGTCTGTTTGTTCATAGATGTCATCGACGGGTCAGTTGGAGTCGGCGATCGCTAAACACATTAAACTTCTTCGCAATCTAACCGACGAAGAAGTGAAGAAGAAAATAGTGATAAAGATATGCGAATTGCGGATCAAATTGAATGAATTGAATGATCTGAACGAACAGTTGTATGTTTGCGGACATAAACTCATTGCCGAGAATGAGACCAAAAGCAGTTCACAACTGGT